GGTGACACACGGGCGAGATGATAAGACCAAAGTGCGATCGGTCGGCCCCGGTACATGTGGTTCTGGCAAACTCGAGACTCTGGATAGTTGACTTCGGTGATCAATACCTCACTTTAGCGGGTGAGTGAGGTTTGTGTAAGGAATAAATCACCACCGGTTAGGAATCGATTCAATCACCATCGCTCCCGGATAGTGAGCACTTGACTTGAGTGACTTCATCGTAGTAATGTTGATGGAACACTTGGACAGTTATAATGAATATGACAATATGGAAGTTGTTAATGATCATTGGTTATCATTATCTGCTTAATCACATGTTTGCTCTAGTATAGGTGCAAATCTAGTCGACAGGTTATAAATAATTAACTTGACAATAATGCTTTTAGAAAGGTTCTTGAAATGATAAAAATACGTCTTTTTGCAAATGAGTCAGCTACACTACTATAAAGCCCTTCATAATCCTTGGTGTCACTTATTTTTGGTTATGTCGGGTAAGTCTAGCTGAGTACCTTCTATTACTCAGGGTTTTATTCCCACTTGTTGCAGATGGGCAGATGTATTACGGCTACTGTATCAACTGCCTTTATCCTGCGATGGGTGATGCTTAGGACCATGGGCATGGTCATTCCTTACGTCTCGTCTGATGCTTTTTTGGAGATGATCATTAGTTGGCACTGTATTTGAACTCCGTGTGAGTGTGTGTGGTTTTAAACAAATGGCTTCCGCTACTTTTATTTGAACTCGTTTTGTAATAACTATGTTTAAACTCTGATGTATCTGAGATGCGAACTTTTATGTAATATGTGATGGTGACCGCTAAACTTATTACGATCTTGGCTGGGATGTAAGTTGATTTGAAATCCTTCGTGATTTCACGGACTACCGGGTTATACGGGCTTAAGTTTGCTAAATCGTCTGCTCTGGCGAATGATTTTCTTACTTAATTTCGTATAATTGGTCGGTTCTGTTACAGATGGTACAGACTCAATACAGTTTTGCTTATACGTCACTATTGTGTTGCCATGGCCAGAATTCCTCCAGGAAAATTGGCGGTGTGCTGTTTGCTTGAAGCTAGCACTTATTAATATCAATGGAGATTACTGCCAAGCTGGATGTTTATTTGCAGATCCAGTACTATCTATACTGTTGTGTGGTGATGAGAGGTTGCACAGGATGTTGCTAGATTATTACACCTCTCAAGAGCTTGGAAAAAATGATGATGAAGTGTTTTGTAATTTTCCATCTACCATTGCCAATGCCTATATTGATCATCAACTACCGAAGATACATGGAATTTTCAAGACTGACAATGAAAATGGAGAAAGGACAAGATTGGTGATCAAGTGGCCTCAAGTATTGGTGCTCACGGTAATTGCAACTGACCTACTGACACCATGGGATCCAACAGCCAAACATATGTTGTTTTTCTGCAGTAAGCCATTTGGAGTTCTACAGCTGCAGCATGAGCCGTATCTTCTAGTGTTGAGTCCCTGGAATGTTTCTTGCTTGGAGATTACACTTGTGTCCGTGCAATGGTCTATGGTGAGGAATTTACACTGGGATTGTGGTGGTGACATGCCTACTATACTCTGAAGTCATAATGCAAGGGTCAGCCGTCAGCATGTTGTTTTGGGTTCCAGTGATGTGGGAGGTTATCCTTATGATAAGCTATTGAAGCACCCTTGGCACGCCACACTGTACTCGTGCATCTCACTCATCTTTGTGTCTTTGTTCTATGGTCGATGCAATGGCCGTCTGTTGTTGTTCGAGGTGACAAGAAGTCCAAGTTATCGATATTCGGGATTATCGACTTTGGGCTTGGGGGCAAGCCACATTTCAAGGAGAGGGGAATGTCATTATATGGGCCAATACTGCGCCATGGGCGGACATGTACATCACTTTGCAAGCCCAAGATGGGAAGCTAACAAGGAGTATAAAGGAAGGAAGGCAACGGAGGATGGGGCATCGAACAATTATTCGTGAGACTACTGTTTCTTCTTCCTCTACGGTTCTTCTTCCCAATTCCCCATTCCATACCCCCCCTTTCCTTCTAGATACTTCTAGGCCCTTCTCCTTCTAGATACTTCTAGTAGCTACTCCTTGCTTCTTCTTCGATCTCTCAAATCTATACCGAATCACTACTAGGGATGAAAACGGTCCTATTACCCGCCTTCGGTCTCTACATTTTAGCAATTGAAGAGTCAAAAATGGTTGAAAATAGTTATAAACCAGAAAATCACAAATTTTTATGTTTGGCAAAATTCGAATCTTAATATGGTAATATAGAAAACGAAAGTGATTGAGTGATTGAGTTGCCAAGGTTGGGGTTGCTAACATCACGGACGACGAATCACTGCATCCAGTGCTCAAGAGGCCTTCCAACGATCAGCGACGAACAAGCACGTGAATTGGATGCCAAAATGAAGAAGCAGATGGCTAAGGAGGCGCAAATGACGTTGAACCAAGCTGCTCTGAGGAACCAGGTACTTGACGTGCTTATCAGATCCATGGATTGATAAGGCTTCATCAACGATGTTAAGTATGATGGGTAGGTACATATATATCTCTTTTGTGGGAAATGAACTCCGAGGAATTAATTAATCACGTTCATTGTCGCCTAGTAAGTTTATATAGACTCTAGTAGGAGGTGGATGACGATTTTGTTTTTGGTGTCATCAACCCTTTACTATCAGTGTTCCCTTGATGTGTGTAACAATGTCAATGGCAAAACACTGGCAGCATGGCTTATTATGTCCTAGAAGAACATGTTTTAAATATTTGCCTAAAACTTCTTATACTAGTAGTTGGATATAGATACTAAATTAAGGTATAGTACTTCTTTTTGTGTGTCATGCAGAAATATATGTTACAAATCTGGTGGTCAACTTCACTCCTATTTCCCCTTAATACATAGTCAACACACTGGTGTGTGACCCTGTTAAGTTCTGTGATTATGAACTTTCAGAATTTATCCTAAAGTGATCATAATTATAAGATTTTACCCTCCTTATAAAAAAAAAAGAGTTCGTCCTGCCTTTACCATCAACTCAAAACTCAAGACTGGACATCAAAATGTATGTATGGGGTACTTCTGACATAACACTCGGAAAGAGTTTGTCTCATTGTATCAGTCCAAATAATGCACATTATGAGAGATTGCTCTAAAGAGCATAACATCCATTGTACCATGAGAAAGCATTTTGGTGTTCACTTTGTGTTTGCTTTCCTATTTTTTATTTGATGTACCTCTAGTTCATCACATCTTCCGAAGATGCTAACCAACTCTTCATCATTCATCCCTAAATCAGTGGACTAAAACAAAGCATGCCCACAAGCTTGTACCTGCACTGCATCCGTAATTCTGATATACACTTGCATGATAATATGGTATGCAAATCTTGAATTCGAACCACAACAACCTTGGTGGGGGCATTTACATCTGGCATGGCACAAAAACAGAAAAATCAAATGGAAACTGGAGTGACATTTTATGGAATAGCATGGTATTCTGAACTACACGATGCTCTTTAGAGTGACATTATGATATATCCCGGTGCTGGGATACACCGAGGACAATACTAGATCTATCCTGGAAGAACAAAACAGTAATACAAATGCTAATTTAACTACATGCTGGCATGAATGTCAGCTTCTTATTCTGAAACAGAGTGGCAATCAGTTTCAGTCTGAAGAACATAAAAAACACCTCTTTGATGGTGGAAAATGGCATAATATTGCCGGGTTTTGAAATGGTTGATGTGTATCATTCTTGTGCGTTCAACAGTGATCCGATGGTCCTGGTTTTATTTACAGTAGTTATTACTGTGTGTCTTTGTTATGTGGATGAAAAGCGGTTGTCCTTTTAGAAGTTAATTACTGTCCTCTGGAAGGGATATGCGCCAGCCTGGAGTCAGCTTAGACGTACTCTGTATATGGTTATCACTTTTTTGGTTTTTGCCTCTCCTTTCTCCCTTGTAGAACCCTAGTTCTTCGCCTTTACTTTACCCTATTTTCTCCCTCAATTTTTCCAATTACTTGTCAGATTTGTCAGGATTTGTTCCCAGGATCCTGTTAATGAAGGTGGCAGCAACAGTTGTAAAAGATGAACTCCAATGTACTTTTGTTTGGATGGATATTGGATTTGAGTAGAGTATCTGATTTATATTGACCAAGGAAACGATCGATCGTATCAGCCATGCTTATCAGTCATGATACAATGTTTTCCTCTCATAACAAAACAGCATCAGCCGGCTTATAAGCCACAGAAACGATCAAACGATCAGGGTGAATGTACTTTTGTTTGGATGGATATTGGATCTGAGTAGAGTATCTGATTTATATTGACCAAAGGAAAAGAACTGTGCAGACATGAGCAGGTATTTGGATGCTATGTATGACTTTGGAACCAATTGTGACTGAATCGGGTGTTCGGCTGGTCACATTTCGAACTTATTTCGACTGATTCAATAGTGTTCTACTAAAACAAGCTGAGACTAGACAAGCAGAACAAGCTAGCACTAATTCTGGGACTATGATTATGGATATATTGTCTTCGAGGAACTCGTGGTTTGTTTGAATATACACTTAGTAACCGATATACAGGCCATACAGAGAGATTATAGCAAGGTAGAATAAGAACTTGGATGGAAATCAAGATTTTCAGAAATTTATAGAAATTAATTTAATTTTATAGAAAAAATAGGATTATTAGGAGAAAAGAATGAATTCCGCGTTCAAAATAGGACCAAAGACTTTCTTTTCTTCTCTGTTTAATTTCCCCCCTTTTCCCTAGTGTTTGGACACCGTCTTTTCATAAGTTGGAGCCTTATCGCTCATTTATTCTGTTATTATACTTCGATTTAGATTATACTATTCCAGAAGACCAGTCAAGTTGGCCAATCTTTTTGTATTGTTTTAGTTTCCCGCGGCGATTTTGGTATCTTTCATAGTATTGTTTTGCTCGAGTTTTGAGGCTCCCCATTCACTCGGTTACTCCAGCCATGGAATCCGCCGCCGCCGCCGCCGCTACGATGGCCGCGGAGCCTCTGGCTCTCCCGGCGCTCCTCCTCATCCGCCGTGTGGACGGTGCACCCTTCGCCGCCGCACTACGGCAGCGCTTCCGCGTCCTCGACTTCTTCGCATCGGGCTCGCCGCCCCTCCCGGCTTTCCTGGCCGCCGCCGCGGTGGTCATGGGGGGCGGCCCCTCTCGCGTGGACGCCGAGTGCCTCGACGCCCTGCCCTCGCTTCGCTGCGTCGTCAGCACGGCGGCGGGCCTCGACCACATCGACCTCCACCAGTGCGCGCGCCGCGGCGTGGCCGTCGCCAACTCTGGCAGGGTCTACTCCGCCGACGTCGCCGACCACGCTGTCTGCATGCTCATCGACGTGCTGCGGCGCGTCACGGCGTCGGAGCGGTTCGTCCGCCGAGGACTCTGGGCTCTGCAGGGGGACTTGTGCCTCGGCTCCAAGGTCCTTCTTCTTCTTCGTCTCCGATCCTTCTCCTTCCTATGATTTTCTTTTCTCCAAGCCGAACGACGCCAAATTTTTCTGTGCTTGATGATGTTTTCAGCTCGGTGGCAAGCGTGTTGGCATCATCGGCTTGGGGAACATTGGTTCGCTGATCGCAAAGAGGCTTGAAGCTTTTGGCTGTGTCATCTTACTACCACTCCAGAAAACCCAAGGGTTGTTAAGTCTCTTACAAGTTCTTCTCCAATGTTCATGATCTTGCTTCTGAATCAGACATCCTCGTCGTCGCCTGCGCGCTGAACAAGGAGACGAGGCACATCGTGAACAAGGACGTTCTGGAGGCCCTAGGGAAGGACGGGGTCGTCATAAACGTTGGTCGAGGCGCAAACGTCGACGAGGCCGAGATGGTGAGGGCGCTCAAGGAAGGCAGGATAGCAGGCGCTGGTCTGGACGTCTTTGAGGACGAACCCAATGTGCCGCCGGAGCTCTTGGCCATGGACAATAATGTCGTGCTGACGCCACACGTTGTAGTTTTGACTTTTGACGTCGGAGTCCAGGTCAGATCTGCGTGACCATACCATTTCCAACCTTGAGGCCTTCTTTGCAGGTAAGCAGCTGCTTACACCGGTGCTTCCCTAGAATTATTCTAGGAAATCAAATCGGATGTCATGAGGGTGTCATTAATAAAACTAATTAATTAAAAGAAGGTTGCAAAACATTTCTTATAATCAACAGTGTCGTGATTCATGCTTACAGTGAGGTACTGTACTTTTTTATGATCATTTGTATTGATCCAAGTGTACTACTTTGCACTTCCGAATTGAAATGGACTCGCGTTTCTGTATTTACTAGAAACCCGGCGTGGCTTTGCCGCGCCGTTCTTGGAGTGTGACAGCCTATTTTATGTGCATCTTACCCTTGTATCAGTACCTAATTAAACTTTAAATGTTGTCCAGTGATGAATTAATAGAATTATTAGTATTTGTAGCAAAAGATTTAGTGTAGTTAGTACCTTATAGTTAGTCCTTATATTTACAATGGAAGGTTGAACTAAGAGATCATCTATTACTGATATATGAGGATTTTGAAGTTGAACTGAGTTCTCATGATTAATATGCATAGCAATTCGATGTTGTAGATGTGATCAAGAGGAACGTAACAAATTTTGATTCACTAATTTTACACATTGTTTTGATTTTATATGAATTTATCTATTATCTCCTTCACTTCATCTACAGTCTTACAGGCAGTGCAATGGGAGTCCGGCCGATTTGGCCCGACCCGGCCCTGCAATCGTAGAATTCAGTGTTTACATCTTTATGGAAAGATTATAATAATAATGGTTCTTCGTGAAAAATCAGTAATGTCGTTTTTGTAAATATTAGCACAATTTTTATTTCTAAAACGTCTAATATATTTCAGTTGTCTATTTAATGGATTTAACGAAGAAATGTGTTCTAAAAATAAGAAAATACTTGGAAATATATTTTCTAAGAGGACCAGTAACGTACCAAAAAGTCGTGCTTTTAAAGATTGTATCTTTCTAGCCGCTTTTAAAGACAATATATATGAGAACCTCACCTAAAAGCGCCTCAAAATATATATTTTTGGGCGTTTGTTTTTTTTGGCGGCTGCTATTATAAATAGTCTTTGGTGCCTGTTGGATGCAGTAGGGATTTTAGAAAATCAAGATTATAGATTTGGATTTTAGAATCCAGATTCTAGATGATAAAAATCTCCCATGTTTGGATCATGGATTCTATGTAGAGATTTTTCCCATTTGAATGTTTGTGTTCTCCATTTTGCCCCCATCATTTTTGTTGCATAATAAGATAAGCTAGGGGCAGAAACGTCTACCCTTTATTTCCGTGTACCCTTTATTTCGCTCTGTCCGCAAATGCAAGCAATTGTAGGCTTGGAAGCAAGTGCATAAAGGAATGCAATTTAGACGTACAGAGAGCCAGAGGCTTTAGCAGCTGTGAGAGTGGGACCCGCTGGTCAGCTGCTCCTCGTGAAGTCAATCCAGGCTCCAGCCATCCTTCAGCCTGTTAGGCTGGAGCGGCTGGTTGGCTGGTGCTGGCTAGCCCTCTCACGCGGGCACTGTAAGGAAGGGGAGCACCGTCGTGTCCGGATGGCCGGGGCCCGAGGCGCGGCGTAGCCACGGGCTCGAGGGAAAGCTCTGGAAAGGCTGGTTGCTGTGCCCTTTGTTTTCTTTTTTCTTTAGTGAGAACTGTGCCCGTTTTAGACCGTCTGATCAAAATTGGATGAACCAAAAAAAAAAGAGTGACGTGGCCTAATGATGTGCTCGAGCTTGGCTCAGGATTCGAAGATAGGAGTTCTTTTTTAGATGGGCAAAAGTGATCGAGAGCTCGAGGCTAGCTCTTGTGGCCCAGTTACTACGGCCCACTAGTCGCAGCCTATGAAGTGGCCCACCGGCCGTTTTCTTTGCTTCAGGCCCAGAAACGTGTTTTTGCTTCAATGATTCTAGCTCAGCTTTGCAAGTTGGGGAATTTCGAAACACCAACTCGAATTTTGTATAAATATGTGAAAAATAGTACTTTAAAATATTTTAAGAATTCTAAAAATGTTGATTTTTCTAAAACAAAAAATATACGCATGCAAGATTTTTTAAAAATAATTGTAAACAAATACCATGGTTCAAATGGATTCGGATTCATACAATGAAAACTATAACATATGACGAACTCATGCTCAAAATTCGAAGTTAAAAGAGCGCATCAGGTCAAACCGCACCACTAATAATCTAATAAAGAGATAAAAAAAATAAGAGAGTAATTTTGAACAGCCATGCATGACCCATAGAGTGGTGGCGGCCAATATTTGGGCCTCGGCTGCCCCAACCCCTGTTCGTGCCTGGTGAGAGTGAGGACGCCGGTTTTAGCAATCGTCTGATTGCAAAAAGTTGTCACTTGTACCCTTTTTTATTTGATTTGATTCCATTGAATATGACCGGAACAACGTCAGCAGAATAGCAGTAGCAATGTGCATGTATACAATAAAGACAAATTGACTGTTAAGGGCTTGTTTCAAGCCTTCAAACCACAGCTAGCAGCCTATCATATTGATCAGAAATGCTCCTCTTCAGTTGACAGATTGGTTGCTTAACCATCAGTAGAATTATGAGAGAGAGAGAGAGAGAGAGAGAGACCCTCCGGTCATTTCTTCGGTTTTGGCCCAGAAATGTGTTTTTGCTTTAATGGTGAGCACTTTTGCACTCTAGGAATTTCGAGACACCAACTCAAATTTGGTATGAATATGTTAAAATGACGCGTTAAAAATATCAAAATAGTACTAGAAAATGTTGATCTGTCTAAGAAAACAAAAGGAAAAAAAATCAAAATATACTCATATTGGATTATTTTTTTAATAATTGTAAACAAGACTATGGTTCAAATAGTTTTAGATTCATATCATGAGAAAACTATAACATATGAAAGATTAATGGTTAAACTTCGTCGTTAAAGAGTGCATCAAGTCAAACCACACACGAATTAAAAAAGTATACCATTCATTACAAATTATAAACCGTTCTAGCTTTTTTTAGATACATATGATTCACTATATATATCTAGACGTAGAAAATCCAGAACCACTTAACAGCCATGAGCAATAATGCCATAGCAGTGACCAATACCTGGGCCTGTTCCTGCCCCTATCCCAGGCTGGGGGAATGATGGTGGTTTGCACCTGTGCGGCCCTATTGACTCCCTGGAATATTTTTATCGCAGCAACGGCAGCTTGCATGTACGCCAATTTGCATATACGGAGTACTACTGTATGTACATATAGGATATAGTGTCCGGGACTGCTCTATTCCACGGTTTTTTTTAGCTCCGCTTTACGTTTTTTAGCTAAACGGTTTCAGCTCCGTACACTTTATTCAAGAAAAAATAATAATGTTATGAGAACATCTTAAAAACAGAATCTACAAACTTTACTTTTTTTTTTTGAACTCTCCACGGTGAAATTTATGGAAGCAGTGGCAGGCATGCGTGTCCCACTTGTCCCCCATCATGCATGCATATTAGCAGACGACAGAATGTTACGGGGATGGATGGGTACTGTAATGTACTGCGCCCTCCCTCTCCCTCTCCATCGGGCGGGGCCCGCCGGGGGCCGGGGCAAACAGAATCACGCACGCAGAGCCCCGGCAGGCCCATCCGTCGATTCGAATCGAATTAGACAAAAAAAAAACAAAGAACAAACTGGTAGTACGTACGTACGCTCTTTCGTTCTTGGTGGCTGCACAACAATTCGAATTTTAAGAAGGGTGACTGGCCGGGCGTCGTAACAACAAATTGGTAGTACACGTACGTTACGTACCACGGTAACTAAGGAGTGCCACATCATGCTCGATCATGCTCTCCCTGGTCAGGAGGGAAAAATGGCATTCCATCATAAGTAGTACAGATGATGCGGTTTCATCAGGGGGTTAAAAAACAGTAACGCTATAGACCGGACGCATCGTTCCACAGACCACTCTGTACTTGCACCTCACTTCTTCTCGCTCCATCCATTGCCTCCACTTGCTCTCTCCCGCACTCACTCCGCCCGCTCCCCCCACACTCGATCTCTCCTGCGCCGCTCCTCCGCCCGCTTTCCTGCCGGCTCTCCGGGCCGTCCCCGGGACGGGGACACCACACGCCGCGCCCGCGAGCTCGCTGCGCGTCCGCCCGCCCGTGCTCCCTTCCTCCCTCCGTCCCTCGCCCTCCGCGACCTCCATGCACCCCCACTCTCCCTGCGATCCGGCTCCCGCACCCCCACCGGAGACGAGGACGACAGCGGCGGCTCCGACGAGGTAGCTCGCGGAGGGATCTGGATCTGAGCCCTCCTCCTCCTCCTCCTCCTCCTCCTCTGGATCTAAGGGATGTGACAGTGGCTAGGGTTCCGGCAAGCTTTCAGGGTCAGATCTCGCCCTGTTACACTGTTTTTTTATGTTGCAACAGATTATTTCGAATGTTGCAATGGGGTTTTTTGGGTTGTTGCAACAGATGTTTTTGCGATGTTGCAATATTACTGCTTGAGATGTTGCAGTACATTTTTTCGAATGTTGCAGCATAATTTTTTGATGTTGCAATACACTTTTTTTTATGTTGTAGTATATGTTTTTTCGACGTTGCAGTACAAGTTTTTCAATGTTGCAGTACACATTTTTTCGTTGTTGCAATAGATATTTTTCATTGTTGCATCAGTTTTTTTAGATGTTGCAGTGCATGTTTTTCAATTTGCAGTAGATATTTTTTCGATGTTGCAGTAGATATTTTTCGTTTGTTGCAGTAGATATTTTTCGATGTTGCAGTGTATGTTTATCAATGTTGCACTACATATTTTTTCGATGTTGCAGTTGGGGAAGGGGGTGTGTTGGGGAAGGGGGACAAAAGGTGCTGGCGTTGGGGCCGGAGCCATCGTCGAGGGGCACACGGCGTCGGGGGTGCTCTTGCGGGGCGGCGAGGCAAACGGATGGGGATGAGGATGGGGATGGGGATGGGGATGGGGATGGCGATGGCGATGGCGATGGAGATGGGGACGAGGTGCGGATGTGTCGGGCGTGCGCGGGGGGCATCCCGATGGAAGGCAGGCTCTGTTGCGGGCGATGGGGACGAGGTTGGGGATGGGGACGAGGTTGCTGGTTGTGGGCGGCGGGGCATCCAGGAGCAGCAGCGCGAGCGTCCGACGCTAGCGCCCGGATCAGACGTTCGGACGCTAGTAGTTCTCGTTAAAAACACATTTGCTTACCACATCACATCTTGATGGCGTTGGGAAACGATGATGAAAACTACTAAATTTGTACTCCTGCGACTACAAACCACTATCATATCATAGACCTGACCTCTTGCTGGCTACCTCTTGTTGTTAGCACAAGTTGGGATAGGCATTTTTACAAACCCACCAGCCTATTTGGTACAACTCAACTTAGAAACAGTTATTTTTTTAGATTTTAGCTCGAAAAGTAGCTCTATTGATAGGTGTAAAACTGGTTTTAGTGAACCGCTCAGTAAAACCGGCTGATAAGCCGGCTAAAGCTGTTTTGTTGTGAGAGAAAAATACTGTAGATTCTAGCTGATAAGCCAGCTGATAAGTTCAAGCGAACCGGCCATTCTCTAGGTAGAAAAAAATGATAAAATAACCTTATTGTCCTTCTCTTTTCTTTTCTTTTTCTTTTTTATTTCCTTCCCATCACTTTCACCGTTCATCTTATGTGTTCATCTACCCTCACCCCCTGCCCCTGCCCTGGCCGGTGGCCATCGTCTTCCTCGACGCGGCCACTCCCGCCCCCCGCGTCGGCGACTCTACTCCCACCACCGTCGCCAAGGAGCTAGGGATCGCGCGCCGCTCTCGCCTTGAACATGTGTTGTAAAAAACGGAGTGGTTTTTTCCCCGACGAATAACACATGTCTTGAGTTTCTTGTCTCGTACATATATATATATATACATACTACATTGTCCAGGTGCCGGTACATATTCTCTTGTGGGCCCCACTAATCCTTGCCTCCTTAACATGGAGTATATACATTTCAAAGAACCAGACAGGTGCCATGATCATCCTGTAGCAGTGTGATTGATGAATGAGATTTAAAAACCAGAAGAGGCAGAGACATGACCACAGTTGCTCTGCCCTGCCCTGCCCTGCACATATATCGTCCGTACTGTACCAGAAGCAGCTACTGCTACCACATGTTTGATTGTTTGCTATGTCCATTCATATATACAAAACACACCAAACTCCAAGCTAGGGAAACAAAGCCACAGGACCAAAAATAAATAAATAAATCCCGAGCCTCCGAGGGATGTACGGCAGCGGCACCCATCTGGAGGCGTGGCAGGCATCGCCACGTTCCCATCACGACCGTTGAACAGAGAAACAGAGCAGGCGCAGAGCGGCCGCAGGGCATGGTCGTGAGCGCCCGTGGCGGCACCGCACCCGCTGTTTCCGTCGAGATCCGCTGGCGTACTGACGTCACGGGCTCCACCCTCTGTCCCCAATCCCCCAACGGCTACCTCGCCGCCGCACGTTACGACGACGACGGGTGCGACTGGGCGTGGGCGGCGCAGGAGAGAGAGACAGATTCCGCCACGCACTGCGCGAGGAGCGCGTCCAGGACCCGGTCCGCCACCTCCTCCGCCACGTCGCCCGCCTCCTCCTCCACCGCGGGGTGCCGCGCCAGCCGCCGCACGTTCGAGGACTCCAGGTCCGCCGCCACCAGCGCGTCGATGTCGCCCACCACCCGGCAGTCCGCCGCCGGGAAGCTCTGCACCCTTTTCCACACCTTCCCCAGCAGCGGTAGCCCAGTCGTCATCGCCGTCGATGAGGCGTCCAGGCCCAGCAGCAGGTCCGCCAGCAGCTCCTGCGCCAGGTGGAACAGCAGTTTCCGGTTCCACCGGTGCCGGAGGGGGCCTAGACGCGCCTCGTCCGCGGGGAGCTCCAGCTCCAGGAGGTGGAACACGATCGGGTCCACTGGCGACGCCACCGAGTGGCCCCGACCCGGCCGCCGATGAGGCGGCGACGACCGCATGAACCCGCCGCGCTCCAGCACCGTCCGCAGGTAGCTGTACTCGGGGTCCTCCTCCAGCGGCGAAGACGAGGAAACGCGGGCGCGGGCGGCCGCCGCTGCCGAGCAGCAGTCCGTGGTTGATGACGACGTCGACGGCGAGGACGCCGGGCACGCCGCGGGCTTCTTGATCCGCGTCGCGAAGCGCTCGCACCCGTCCGGTTTCCTCGCTCGGGTGGGCGGCGGGTCCAGCGGCGGCGGAGGGGACGGCTGCTGCTGCAGCCTCGGCGCCAGAGCCGCCACCCTGGGGCTGTGATGATGCTCGGCGCTTGGCTTTGGGGCCACCGTCGTCGGCTTGGCAGTTTCTTGAACTTGAACCACGACGGGCAGCTTGGCGTCCTCCATGGCCGGTGCGGGAGCTGCAGGACTACTCATCATCACGTTCTCCTTGTTGTTAAAGCAGCTCTGCCTCTTCTCAACCGCCGGCGACGCGGATGTGCTGTTCTTGCTAGACTTGCGGCTGGCGACCGTCTCCTTGGCCTGGCGGAGGATCTCGCGCGCGTGCTCGTTGGCGGCCGCCCTCTCGTCCCGGCGGCGGTGGCTGCAGGCAGGATCCTTCTTCTTCTTCTTCTTGCCGGAGGCGGCGGACAAGGAGGTGGGCGAGCTGGGCATGGACATGTAGTGCGCGGCGCGGTCGAGGACGTTCTCCTTGAGCGCCTGCAGCGACAGTCTGGGTCCGTCCCACGACGCCCTTGCCGACGTGGACGCGCGCGGCGTGTCCGGCAGCGACCGGGCCTCGGCGACGCCGACGTTGCAGCTGAGGCTGCGCAGTGGCTCCCGCCGGTTCATGGACTCCGGGATCACGCGCTTCTTCTTCTCCGCCTTGGACGCCGGCGGGGAGCAGCTGCTGCTGTTTTCCTTGCCCGCACCGGCGGTGGAGGTAGTTGATGATCTTCTGCCGGTGTTGCCGGGCTTCTTGTGTTGCGCCGGCGCCGGCGAGGGCTGCTGCTGGTCCGGCAGGCCGTCGATGCCCATGAGGCGGGCCACGAGGCTGGGCGTCCTGGGCGTCTCGGCCTCGGATGACGGCGCGGTGGGCTTGGTGGAGCGGCGCATGCTGGTCGTCGTCCTGCTGGCGAGGGCGTCGAACACCGGCTCGATCTGCACGCCAATCTGCAGACAAATAGACAGCGTAATGTCGCAATTAGCAATTGAAGACGCAATTAGCAAAAGGTAAGCTACAAAGAGCACGACGACTGACCGACCTGGGTGTCGTTGGGGTTGTCGGCGTCGAGGTCGAGGCTGTTCCTGGGCGCCTCGAATCCGCTCTTGCTGCTGTTGTCGTCGCCCCGCCGGTGGCTGCTGTCGCCGCCGCCGAGGCCATGGCAGTCGTGCGGCGCCGTGACGATGGCGTTGGAGGAAGTGGGCGGGCGCCCGGTGCCCGGCGCGAAGATGAGGTAGTGCACCATGGACATGCACCCGACGGGTGGTTCTCCTGCCTTCGCCGCCGCTGGTTCCGGCCTCGGCGTGGCGGGGGCCGACGAGGAACGGCTCCGCGAGGAGTACCAGAACGACGATGACGACGACTGCTTGGTCCTCCGCCTCATGGTAGACGTGGTTGCAGCAACTTCTAGCTATGTTGATGGTGGAAAGGCTTGTGAAGAAGGTGAGCCTATATGTTGATAGCCTAGGCTTTTCAAGATGATCAAGCTACTCCATTGCAACAAGGAAGCTAGATGTTGGTAGTGATGGTTTTTCTGCTGGGCTGGTGGTGGGAGCAACGAGGTGTTGCCTTGCTAGCTAGCTGCTGCTGATGATCTCACTCTCCTGGAAAGGAGGGCCAGGAGCGAGGGAGGGAGAAGGAGAGCTTGAAGGAAGTTGGAGATACATCTGCAAGGGAGGGAATAGGAGAGTTTGAAGGAAGCTGGAGGAGAGTGGAGCAAGTGAGATACCAGTAGTACGGCCGGTGTTTGGTGAGGAAGTAGTTAAGCTTGGGGATGGGAGATGAATAGATGATGTCCGGATGGAATGAATATGAAATTGCAAGAAAATTGGAGTCCACTAGTAGGCCGGGCGGGCGTGGTGATGAGCTCAGCATGCAGATGCAGCCCTTTACCCGGCCTTTGAACACCCCCATAAGACTGTCTCCAACAGCCCAACCAAAAAGCGATGTAAACCAAAAAAAGGTCGTACACAGTGTTTTAGCTGAAGAAAACCGGCTCCAACAGAAAACACAAACAGAGCATGCATTTTGGGTACGAGGCCAACCGGGATGCTTATTTACGTCGTCTTTCTCCAAGACGCAAAGTCTTCGGCGTGTGGTGGTGGGCCCGTAGGAGGCGTCGGGGTGGAGCAGTGGTGGGTGCCAGGCGGGACCGCGGCGGGGCGTGGACGGCTCAGCGAGGCGAGCTCGCTGTGGGAGCATCTCCGAAGCCGCCGGCCTTGGCTGCCTCGCCGGATCTGGGACCGTCCCCCCGCTGCCAGTGATGAGCAGCGTCGTGTGGGGGCGGAGGTGCTCGCGCAGCGCTTGTCGGATCTCACAGGGAGGGAGGGAGGTCGTGCAGGGGAGGGAGCTCGCCGGCGAGGTGGGGAGGGAGGCGAGCGGCTCGGTGCTTGGCGGGGGGGGGCAGCGGCGATGCAGAGAGAGAGGCGGCCTTCAGGCGGGAGGGGAGGCGGGCGCCTCGGCCTCGGGGGGGGGCAGTGGCCAGCGTCTGCAGAGAGGCGGCCGGAGCTCGGCGGGGAGGGACACAGGCGGTGCTCGGGGGCTCTTCCTTTCTCTTCGCTGTTGGAGAAGGAAGGTTTTGGGTCGGTGACCCATTTGGACGGCCGATGGCTCCCACCTCCAGGCCCCCAACATTGTCGTGCTGCTGTCCTGCCCTGGCCATGCATTTCTCCTCCCACGTTAATTACATAGCTTAACCACACCACAATGCCTTGCTTTGGTTAATCCGATCCCCAGGCAGGCATGCTAATCACTCACTCACCCACTTGTCAACAGACAGGGTCCATATTATAGCAGTAGTGACATCCTGCAGTAACCAATCCATGGGATTAGCGGATAACGGATAGGAGGGGTGACGTTTTGCGCTCCCATTGGCCGCACTGAAATTGAGGCACCCACCGTAACAGCTCCTACTGTATACCATGACTGTAAATTCGAAGGAATCTCCGCCTCTCTCTGTCTGACGCTTGTTTAGTTGGACCCTAAAGTTTAAAAAGTTGTTATAGTATCACATCGAATGTTTGTGTTCGTGCATGAAGCATTAAAGGTAGACGAAAATAAAAACTAATTGTATAGTTTGGTGGGAAATTGCGAGACGAACGTTTTGAGCATAATTAGTCCATGTTTGAACACTATTTGCCAAATAAAAACGAATATACTATAGTAGCCCCAAAATCCAAATTCACCCAACTAAAGAAGGGCTGACACGACAATTAAGCAGGTGGGGTGCCCAACAACACCCACTGACAGCTCGACCAGTCCTAGGAGTATCCTCTTCTCCACCCCCTCTCTTGTTTTTAGCTTCTTCAATTCCGATGTGGGCCTTGTTTAGATCGTCTCCAAATTCCAAGTTTTTTCACTCTCTCTATCACATTAATTTTTGGACGCATGTATGAAGCATTAAATGTAGGTAAAAAAATAATTAATTACATAGTTTGGTTGTAAATCACGAGATTGATCTTTTGAGCCTAGTTAGTTCATGATCGGACAAAGTTTGTCAAATACAAACGAAACGTCTTACACAGATCCAGGTTGTAAAAATTTGCAATCTAAACAAGGCCGTAAATGTGATCCTCCTCTTTTTCAGTGACCAGAACAAGTCCCTTTTCTAATCACTGCTGGATCCATCGCAGGAGCAGTACTAGAGATTTTTACTGCTCCATTTTTATTTTTTTTCCTGGATTTGGAAACATCATCATCATCATCATCATTCATTCACACCACGGATGATGAATAAATAAATAGATACCAGTAGTTAACAAAGCAGCTAGCTACTCCCTCTTTCTAAATTATATGTCGCTTTGACTCTTTTGTTATAATCATATCGTTAAAATGGATGAAAAAAAAGTTAAAACGATTTATAATTTAGAACGGAGGAGCACCTCGCTTGCTAGCCCATCTGTACTGTGTCGTCTGCCGGTAGCTTAATTACGACAGTATCTACCTGCTAGTACTACTACAAGTAAACTAATCAAATCTGCTCTAGATCTCGTCTCACATAGGATCGGAGTAGCTAGGCGCTGCCGCCGCCGTATTTGCGTCGTCTGGATTTCAAACTAACGACTAGCACGCTGATTCAAAAATTCAAATGGACGGACGGACAGATCCATCGCCTGCGCTAGCACGTACTGGACCAAATGATATGATCCGATGGAGCCGGCCTCTAGCAATCATCCAATCACAATTCAGGATCCAAATGCTGCATCTGCATGCATATATGAGCGGAGGACGACGACAGTGGATCATTTATTCGATTTAATTTAACGGCCGCACGCGTCGATCGGCTGCAAAGTTGGTACTCCGAGCCACTCAAATGCAAATTAAGGGCCCTGACTACGTACCTCCACCCAATAATAGTTACTCGATCGATCGGTGGTGCATGGATGGCTACGGCCTCCTTTGCTCTCTCTTTTTTTTCATGGCTCCTTTGCTACTAGTAGAACAAGACACGTGCACTCACCCACGACGTACATAATCTAAAAGTTCACTTCGAGGTTATAATGGATTTTTCGTTCATTTGGTAGGTGAGAAAAATTGGAGGAGTTATCCTTGGACACATGTCCAACACTACAGGAAACCGGGACTTTGCCCAGTGCTCAAATCTTTGCCGAGTGCCAAATATCGGGCACTCGGCAAAGGCCACCTTTGCCGAGTGCCGCACTCGGCGAAACATGACACTCGGCAAATAGGGCTTTGCGAGTGTCTGACACTCGGCAAAATAAGGCACTTTCAGCAAAGCCAAACTTTGCCCAAAGCGGACATTCAACAAAGTTGGGCACTTTCGGCAAGAGGCGCCCGGGGATAATTGGTACCTAACGCCGTCCTTTTTGCCGAAGTGCCTTCTGCTTGGCACTTCGGCAAAATATTGGCTTTGCCGAGGGCCTAGGGTTAGCACTTTCGGCAAAATATTCACTTTACCGAAAGTGCCAAACCTTGGCACTTTCGGCAAAATAATTTTTTTTTGTTTTTTGCCACCAACTTTTTTTTAGATTTGTATTTGTACCATAAACAATATGTTCAAATTTGGCATAATTTCATTGTTGTTTGCTATATTTCTTCACTTTATTTCGTTTTCTTGCAATTTTTCAGAAAATGTAGGTTTGAACTGCAGGTGCATCGAATAATAGTTTGTGATGATGTTCTGGTTTGTGAACACCATACGTGATGACGTCCTCCAAACGTTTTCAAATTTTTACCACCGCATATGCATGTGATATCACGACATCTCGCCAAGTTTCATGATTTTTGGGATTCGTTTGAATTTTATAGAATTAAATAACCACTCACACGCAAGTTCGCGACGTTGCCCCGTGATCACGTTGATCGAAATTTGGAGACAGTTCCTAGATTTAGAATAAAGTGTCACTAACAAACAAGAATAACATTTTTGGAATGGATCAAAACTATTATTCGATGCACCTGCAGTTCAAACCTACATTTTTCGAAAAATTGCAAGAAAACGAAATAAAGTGAAGAAATATAGCAAACATCAATGAAATTGTGCAAAATTTGAATATGTTGTTCATGGTACAAATACAAATCTAAGAAAAAAAGTTGGTGGCAAAAACCAAAAAAAAATTATTTTGCCGAGTGCCAAGGTTTGGCACTTAACAAAGTGAATATTTTGCCAAGTGCTAACCCTAGCACTTTCGGCAAAGCTAGGACAAGATTTTTTTTAATTTTTATTTCACCGAGTGCTAGATCGAGGGGCACTCGGCAAAATACTTTCTTTCTTTGCCGAGTGCCCCGGATCGGCACTCTCAAAAAAGGGTTTGAAATATAAAAAAAACGGACACACGCACACACACACACACACACACACACACACACACACACACGCCCTCCCCCCCATCCCACACCAGAAGGCCCTGGCCACCACATCACCGCCGGAGCCGCCCCTCACTGCTGCCACTGCCACCCGGCTCCCCTACAGCCCACGCCCCCACCCTGCGCCCAGCATGCAGAGGGAAGGAGGAGGAGGAGGTAGGAGGAAGAGGAGGAAGGAAAGGAGGAAGGAGAAGAAGGGGAGGAGGAGGAAGAAGAAAGAGAAGGGAGGAGGAGGAGGAGAGGAAGGAGAAGGGAGGAGAAGGAGGCAGGGGAGAAGAGAGGAGGAGGGGAGGAGAGAAGGAGAAGGGGAGAAGAGGAGAAGAGAGGAGAAGAAAGGTGTCACCTCGGTTCGTCGACCCTCATGCCGTAGCGATCATCCCCGTTGTCGTCGCCGGCCCTCGGTCTTCGCATTCTCGCTGGCAAGGTATGCCCTAATGTTAGTATTAGTTAGTAAGTAGTAGTGTTAGTAGTAGTAGTTAATTAGTAGTGTTAGTATTAGTTAGTAAGTCATAGTGACAATAGTAGTTGTAGTTGTTGTTCATAGTTTTAGTGTTAGTA